AATCCTTGACACTTCCTGCACAAAACATTCCTTCCTTTTCCTCGACAATTTGCGACACCTTCTTCCAATAGCTGCAAAATATTCTTATGTTATCAACTCACTACTCACTACTCACTACTCACTACTCACTTGTAGCTACTATCTAATCACGTGATATGTCTTCGTCTCTGCATCACAAGTATACTCACGCACTTACTTACATACACTACTGCTCTCCTTTCTTCTCTTTCTATGTTGACTCTCAGGTCAATACTTCAAACAAGAAAAAAAGCACTCACTCTGTCACAACACTTTACGTTATCCTTAGTGCTTTGGCTTTCTTTCCTGTTTCAGCTTCAAACCATTGTTATTGAAAATTTTTCATCTTCTACTCACTGTATTGTCCCCAACTTTCATGAAAATTTTTCATTTCTGTCTACAATATATAAAAATACTCAAATCTTGAAAAAATTTTATTAATTTCTATTTTACTAATAACAAACTGAAGAACTTTTTGTGAAAGAGATTACACCATTAATCTCTCTTTGTTATTCTTACAGCTGTATAGGCTTTAATATATTGGACAGCAATTAAATTTTCTTGATATTAGTTAAGAAAATTAACACTTTAATATCATCCTTGACAAAGAGTCCACGCTATTCAGATCCCTAAATTATTAAAAAAGGGAATGTCACTTAATCAGGATAGACATCAGGATAGACATCAAGATAATCATCAAGATAATCATCAAGATATGTCGATTGAAAACCGTCTCTACAATCTATTCGAGACGGATATCCTTCAATGCGTTAACGAGTCTAAGCTCAACTATGAGTCCGAGTTGGTCAATCACTACACTCAGAAACTCAAGCTTAGCACTCTTAACTGGTGGTACCAAAAAGACTTGGTACCAAAGAGATACCAATTTAGAAATCAAATTGACTCGAATGACGAAGCCTTAACTAAAAGGCTTGAACTCGAGCGGTTATCTCACATAATCAACGATTTGAATACAAATATCAAAACTGTTGATCAAATCACTGACGAACTGCAAGCTAACGCCAAATCCAGACTCATGAATGTCATGGAATCTTGTATTGAGACTATGCAGTACGATCCAAGTCAACGAAATTTCGAAACCTTGGAAAGAGTGAAAACCCTTTTCAAGATAAAACTCGATGAGCTTTTATCGGAACTTACTAACGAGTTCTACTTTATCCAAATAAAGCAGGCCCGTCTTTGTAAGAATAAGACCGAGAAAGCAATCAAGAAACTTGAAAAGTTTGAGGAAGCACAATTTCACGATGCTATTATGACTACTGAGCAAAGTAGTGATCATCATACTCCCACGTCTTTATGTTGCCATCACTGTGTTCTGAATAAACAAGAATACGTTAGAAACAACAGACCTAGTACGAGGAATGTCAAAAAATCCAATGGAAATAACAAGACAAACCGTACAAGGAAGGATAACCCACGGTCAAAACCTCCCAGGTCCAGCAATCCAAGACCACATCAAAGGGAGACCTCAACAAGGACTAGCCAAAAAAACTGGCTGAACTCTCTTGCAAATATGCAACGGAATCAATCCAAAGCAAACGTAAGAGAGTCCAACAGAGGAAAAAAGCAGAAAAGAAAGGGCCAAAGAATGCCGATGAAAAAATTTTCCTCAAGACAATAAGATTGGAAACCAAATGTGACAAGGGAACGACCGCCCCTATTCCTTCATCTACTCCAACTTCCACCTCTGGTTGTACACACGACCATGGATTATTAGATGCAGTACCCGTACATGCCATAGGAATAGAGGACCGTTCCAAACTAGCAGCCATAGAACAAACTTTGCAACTAGGTGCTAAGTTCATCCCTTTAACCCTCGAAATAAACGAAAAAACTAAAAAAACTAAAAAAATAGTAAAATGCAGCAAAAATGAAAAAAATAACTATAACAATAACAATAGTCCAATCACTACAGAAGTTACAGACGAAGACAAGACTATCATAAAAAACACCAAGGAAGATCTTTGGCGTGATATAAAGCTACATGACGTCTTCCGAAAAGGAAACAAACAGGATTCATCTTTTGATCCGCGATTCCACATCAAAAAGGACAGATCCACAAGGTGGTCTCCTCCTAACCCTGGCCATTTAACGCCACTCAAACATATGATAGAAAACGAATTTAAACAATTTTCAAAGAAAGAAGTCGAGATAATACCGAATATGAAGCACATCACTTTAAAAAATCTCGCAGAGATACAAAGAATGCATAAGTTGATTATCAAGCCAGCAGACAAGAATCTAGGTCTTACTATAATGAGTTTAACATGGTATAATCAACAACTTACAAAACATCTCTCCAATACAGAGGAATATGCACTAATGGGCCGAAACATAAGACGAGATTACCTCGCAAAAGGCTTACATCTTAAATATCTCAAGATACTCAGGGAGTATGTTATCACATCTTGTATGTTCACTAACCAACAAAAGACCTTTCTCCAGCACGTGACGACAGAAGACTTTACTAACCTCCCTGAGTTCTACCTTATACCAAAGGTACATAAAAAAGACCCAACTACCCGACCAATAGTACCAAGTCATAACTATGGCACAAGTAAACTCTCTCAAGTCCTTTCGGCTCATCTTAACGAGCAGGTTAAACGATTCACCTGGATCATACGTGACACAAGAGACTTGATCGAGAAACTTAAAAAGGTCGAGCTCCGGTATATAAGGGAACGCTTTCCACGTACCAGTAACGTCAATACACTAGACAGTCTAGTGGAAATTAGCGACTGGAAGGGCAACCACCCATATGGAAACGTAGCCTCATATATGATAATAACAGGAGATGTCACCAGCCTCTATACGAATATCCCAACCAACGAAGGATGTGAAACTATTCGTAACCTTTACATAGAGATGGGACAAGGCAACAAAGCAGATACCTATTTCCATCTTACAAAATTTGTAATGGAACACAACTATTTCAGCGTCTGCAATGACAAAGTCTACAAACAACGAAAAGGTACTGCTATGGGCACAAGTATGGCACCAGAGTATGCTAATATCTATCTTGCATATAATGAAAGAACTTTAGTGCAGGACCTCCAACTGAACTGGTATACCCACTATTTCAGATACTTGGATGATATATGCATCCTCACGCCTAAAATACACTGCAAACAGGTCACTGAGTTCATTGAACAAAAACTAGATCGTCCTCTCACCATCAACTGGTCAGAGCCACAAAAGAAACTTCCCTTCTTGGACCTTGAAATAGAAGTCACGGCCCAACACAGAATAAGTTACACTATGTACAGGAAACCGATCAA